AGGAAGGGTCTTGGGGTCGTGCGGTCCTGCTCTCCTGGCTCAGGAGGGGTCTCAAGCAGATAGCCCTGAGTCTGATGGTGGATTTGACCAAGCCAGGGCCTCTCGCTTCAGCGGGCTTCTCCTGGGTCAGAGGTCACGTGAACTGTCGTGGCCAGGACGCCTTTTTTTGTTTGGGCTTCAGCCACGGCAGACGTGGGGCCACTGCCTTACTGGGGCACACGCTGCGGTGGCTGGAGGGGAGTGGCGTTCCGGCTGTCATGCTGAGTTGCACCCTCCTGGCGGCATCCTGCTTCTCACCGCAGAGGCAGGGACATGGTGGTGGGTGGGAGCCTGGCATCTTCTGGGGCACCGGGCGGGCAGGTGACTTCCACCTTCTCATCAGCTCAGCTCTTCTCCAGGCCAGAGAAGCGTGTCTCGCAGCCGGCAGAGCGGAGCAGCGTCCTGGCCATGCCCTCCATCGCGCTGGGCCGGGCTGTGGGTCTCCCCAGCCCTCCTGCGCTCCCTCAGATCAGCCTCTGAGCCCGCTGTGGAAGGGGGAGAATTTCCAAAGCCAACCACTCTACCACAATGATAACCATTTTCTATAAATGCACCTCATTTCTTCTCACATTGCCATTCCCACTTGATTGCCAAAAACGTACAGACTTCTCAGTCATTTCCGTTTTAAACTCAGCTAAAGGCAGCGTTTCCTCTGTTCCCCTTCACCCAGCGTGCTTTTCAGGCCAGGAGAGGATGTGTGAGGACATGGGACATGTTCTAAGTCTGCCCCATGTCTTCACACATTCGATTTCCAATCTTCTTGTCTGGGGTCCAGGAAACAGACCTCCCACACGGGTCCCTGTGCCGTCTCTCATGCCCTCCGTCCACCAAGCATGACACGTACTTCCGGGGCTTGCCCAACTCCAGCAAAAATCTCTTTCCCTGTTGGAATCCCCAACGACTCTAGAAGCTGCATCTGCCACTCTCCACCCCCCAGCAGGACAGGCTCCTTCCGGGGACCTGCCACGCGCAAGCACATCCTTTCCTGCTCGGAAGCCCCTGTCCTGACCAGGGAGCCCTTCGGCATCTGGTTTGCAGATGAGGTGCCCGGCTCTCCTATTCTCTCTTCACTCTCTCTAACTGCATGCTTAGGCCCTGCAGGTAATTAGCCTTTGGTTTTCCAAAATACTTTTCTAACAAATCAAACACCATGACTTCTTTTTTGTTAATCCTCACCCGAGGATACTTTTCCATTGGTTTTAGGGAGAGTGGAAGGGAGAGGGAGAGACAGAGAGAAACATCCATGTGAGAGAAACATATCGATGGGTTGCCTCCTGCACAAGTTCGGACCAGGGCCCTGGCCAGGGAGGAGCTTGCAACCGAGGTACGTGCCCTTGACTGGAATCGAACCTGGGACCCTTCGGTCTGCAGGCCAATGCTCTATCCCAGGGGTGGGCAAACTTTTTGACTCGAGGGCCACAATGGGTTCTTAAACTGGACCGGAGGGCCGGAACAAAAGCATGGATGGAGTGTTTGTGTTAACTAATATAAATTCAAAGTAAATATCATTACATAAAAGGGTACTGCCTTTTTTTTTTTTTAGTTTTATTCATTTCAAACGGGCCGGATCCGGCCCGTGGGCCATAGTTTGCCCACGGCTGCTCTATCCACTGAGCCAAACTGGCCAGGGCCAAACACTATGACTGCTAAGAACATTTTTCTGCAATGACTGTCCCCTGGGCCCATGAATACCACCAAGAGCTCAGAGCTCTACCCCCCAGCACTGCTTCCACCCTGCCCCATTGCACCCGGAGCCCAGGAGGTCGCAGCCAATTCCCTCAAACCCGGTCAGTCCGGTGTGGGATTCATGTGCTGGGCACCAGCAAAGCTCTGGGCAGTCTATGGGGCTTCTTCCTGGAATGCTGATTAATTTCAAGCTTAGATCGGAAAAGCGTTTTTACATTAAATAAACATGCCTACATTATGTGCTCAGATGCAAAATCCACACGTATTTATAGGACAAAACAGAACACTTGAAGGAAATTCTAAGCATGGTGGGCTACTTGAGGCGATGTCCGCACATCCTAAGAGTGTACACCATTGTCCTCTGCTATAGCCCTCTGTGGGAAAGCCTGCGACACACTGATGGACAGTCCAAGGGCCTTGGCCAGGTTTCAGCGCCCTCGTAGCTCCAACCTCCTCCTGCTCACCCAGAGCAGCTGCTGAGTGCAGCCCCTGTGCTCCCCAGCACTCCTGAAACCGTGGCTCTAACAAATCTTTGAGATCCTGGCCAACCGTCTCCCCAAAGCATTCCTGACCTCTGCCCAGAATCAATCATGCCTTCCTCTGGGCTTCATAACTTCCTTCAGTAAAGCAGCCCCACAGCACAGCCATCTTACAGACTCGCTGTGCCTCTCTCTGGGTTCCAGCCCTCTGGAGAGGGGCCATATCGTATTCCTTTTTGTCATTCCAGAGCCTAGCACAGTGCCTGGCAGGCAGGGGCCACAGTGTTTGTTGGATGCAATGGGGACAGTGTGGACACTTGCAATGCCAACACCTGGGGTCAGTGTCCCTGTTTGGGAGGAAGCAAACATAGGATGAGGGTGAAAATGGTACCAGGCTGGAGGTCCTTGAGAAGTTTTCTCATTCATTCATTCATTCATTCATTCATTTGTTGTTTATCCTTCCATCAAACACTGCTGCAGATAATATGCTGGTTACTGGGATACAAAAATAAGAGCCAGGCCCTGACCTTGGTTTCTTATAGTCCATGAGAGAAAGATGTCAACAGACACAAAATAAATGCCCTAAGAGTCGATTTTCGAAGAGCTCTCTAGCCTGAGGAGCGTGGGTGCGTGGACAGGCACCCTGTGGCTCGTGGATACTGTTTAGACCTCTCGTTGTGCCTTAATGCTCCTTTAGACTGAGATTTTAGAATAAAACTCGCACTCATTTCTTTTGGGCCAGGCACGGTGCTGAGCTTTGAACACAGTTTAACTCCTTCAATCTTCATAATGGGCCTGAGGTGGAATGTTATTGCCTCTCTTTCCCACAAAGGGACACTGGGCGCAATGGCCTTTAGCAGTGTCTGGCACAAGAGCATCTGTAAAATGGGGTCCATTTGACCCACAGCCCATGGTCCCGAATCCTCAAAACTGCCTCAGGAAGAGAACCATCCTCGGCGTGTGAAGAGGTGAAGAGCTTCACTTGTGGGTGTGTGTGTGTCCAGCAGGAAGGAAAACAGCGGGAGGAGGGACAGAGCCCATTAGACTTCGGGTGACATCTAAAGGGGAGAGATGGGTACATCGAGGTCCCTGCGCAAAAACTCTGAGGCGCCCAGATCCCAGGTCATCATGCCCACGTGTCTGCCAGTTTGACTGCCGCCTCCGCTTCTCTGTGGGCTTGAGAGTATAGATAAACACACACAGATACGGAAATGAGTGCCCAAAGGGAGGGCCTGTGGCAGGTTTAGGGGTCAGGGACGGAAGGAGAAACTAGGGAGTGAGGTGAACTCAGTAGCGACGAGGGAAACCTTGGCGATGCAGTGGGATGCGGCTCCAGCAGGAAGGAAAGCAGCGGGAGGAGGGAAGCGAGGCCGGTCTGGCCGCCACAGGCCCTCGTGGCTCCGAGGCCATGCCTGCTCTGCTCCTGGCTCCCCAGGGGCACCTGGACTGCATAGAAAACCCTGGGCATAAAGGCTACTGAGGAAGTAATTGTAAGCACAGTTTCAATCGCCACCGTAGAGGCCCAGGAGCGTGGTCATCGGCTGCTGTGGCAGCTGTCAGCACAGTCCCCTCCCACCAACATTACCGAATGCCGACCCAGTGCCAGGCGCTGGGGGAGGCTGGGGGCCCAGAAGCAGTGAGACTGGGTCCCTGTCTGAGGTGCTGTCATCCACAAGATGACACAAGAATGCAGTGTCCTCTGCCCAGTGCCCGCCCAGTCACAGAGGGCGCCGGGCACCGCGGGTGGGGCGGGAGAGGGGCCCAGGGTGTTGCTAGTCAGTCCCAGGAAGGACCAGGGGCTCTCGCCCTGGCCCAGGGCCACCCTCCACTTCTATCTCAGATTCTTCAGATCCATCATCAATACGTCCCTCCTCCTCTCCGGGACAGGGCCTCTTTCCCAGCACTCTCACGCTCACCGCTGTCACGGGACATTAGCAAACGCCAGCTTGTCGATAATCGCATTTTATTTCAACTCTCCTGCCTGGTCGGATTTCAGTGGTTCTCAACCTGTGGGTCTCGACCCCTTTGGTGGTTGAACGACCCTTTCACAGGGGTCGCCTAAGACCATCCTGCATATCAGATATTTACATTACAATTCACAACAGTAGCAACATTACAGTTATGAAGTAGCAACGAAAATAATTTTATGGTTGGGTCACAACATGAGGAACTGTATTTAAAGGGCCAGAAGGTTGAGAACCACTGGATTAGATGGTTTTCAATCACATGTGTTTGCACTGGGTGGTGGAGGGCCACATGGCTGCCCACAGCTCCCCTGGTGTCACCCTGCGGGCCACCTTTCCATGGGCTCATCTCCGCTCCACCTGTGACACCAGCAGACTCTGCCCACAGCCTGCCCACTGCGGCCTCTGCCCACAGCCTGCCCACTGTGGCCTCTGCCCACAGCCTGCCCACTGTGGCCTCCGCCCACAGCCTGCCCACAGCCTGCCCACTGTGGCCTCTGCAGGCATGGGGGAAGGACAGGCTCTGAGGGGAGGGGTGTAGACCAGGGTAAGAGGTGGGCCAGGTGAGAGGTGGGCCAGGTGAGAGGTGGCCAGGTGAGAGGTGGTTAGACGCGTGAGCCAGGGTGGAAGTGCCTCTGGCACCTGAGTCAGGTGGGCATTGACACTAGGCTATGCCAGGACCCTGAGAAAGGACCCAGCCAGCCCCAGCCCAGCCCCAGCCCAGCCCCAGCCCAGCCCTGGGTTCTTCCAAGGCCTGCTGTCCACAAGCCTCGGAAGCCACTGGCTGGCCGGATGCACAGGAACAGCCCGCGGCCTCCCGGGTGGCCCTTACCTCTGGCTCTGTGGTCTTCCTCCTTGGGGCACTTACCCCCTTCCCACCACTTGCGCTTCAGAATCTCCAGGCGGTTGTTTTCCTGCAGCTGGAGGATGGCCAGGTCGAACTCGTCCCGGAAGGCTGAGCCTGCGGCACAGAGAGCCGGGCAGGGTGTGAGTCCTCTCCCGGCACCTGCTCCCTTCCAGGAGCCTCTGGCCGATCCCCGCTTCCCTGGGGGTGGGGGCCCTGCAGCCGCTGCTCTTGGTGCTACCAGGGGACCTGGAGGAGAAGAAGAGCTCGGCCTCACGCAGGAATTTCTGCTTTCCTTGTCCGGGACCCCTGTCCAGGACCCAGTGTGGGTGAAGGGACAGCGTCCCAGGCAGCGTGGCACCTGCTCCCACCCACGGGCCCCTGTGGTCCAGGACACACTCAGGCAGGAAGCTGCTTGCAAAGCCTCCATCTGCATCCCAGGTTTGAGGCCAAGGAGGAGAATCTGTGATGTCACCTCTCAGGTGGGCAGCTGTCTATTTTCTACTTTATTTAAATAATCTCTGGGCATTTATAGCTCTTTCTACATTACAGCTAACAACCCTGTACCCTGAGCAGCCACCGATGAATGAGAGGCACCCAGTGGGGTCGAAGCGCCTCTTCTCCATCCGACGAGAATCCAGTACCGGCACCCACACCCTCACATAGGCACCGAGTGGCCAGGCCCACTGGCTGGCCCACACCCTGTCACACTGCTCCTCCCTCCCTCCCCACTCAGAAGGCTTCTGTTCAGTACAATTCTTTTAAAAATGTTCTGGACCATATTGGTTAAGGAGCGATGAGTCTAGATTTAGATTTAATCACAAAGACAGGCTTACATGAAGCCGTGGAAGGCTCAATGCCTGGCACAGGCTGAGGCCTGATATCATTAAGAAAAAACTGCCAAGCCCCGGCCGGTTTGTCTCGGTGGATAGAGTGTCGGCCTAAAGACTGAAGGGTTCTGGGTTCGATTCTGGTCAAGGGTATATGCCTGGGTTGCAGACTTGATCCCCAGTGGTGGGTGTGCAGGAAGCAGCTGATCAATGATTCCCTCTCATCACTGATGTTTCTCTCCCTCTTCTTTCCGCTTTGAACTAAACAAACAACAACAAAAAATACTGCCAAGAGGCTGGAAATCCACTGAGCTGCCCAGTGTCCTTGCCCAGCTCCGTGGAGGCCTGAGTGGACAGCTACCCCGGGGGAGACTATGGTGGAAAATTCAGGCAGAAGGTTGGGACAAGTAGACCAGTGCTCTCAAACTTCAATGTGCACAGGGATTACTGGGGGCCTGGCTAGCTGCAGACTCTGATTCAGGGGGGTCTGCATTTTTAGGGAGCTCCATGGTGATACCCTGCTGCTGAGCCAGGGGCTGCACTTTGACAGGCAAGGACAGCCTAGGACCCCACAAATGAAGGAACCTGCCCCACTGCAGCTCAGCCTGGGCTGGGCGTGCAAGCCCCAGGCCGCAGCCTCAGGCACCTGTGTGGCTGCGGGTGCCCAGCAGCATGCCTCCCGCCTGCAGGAAGAGCCCCTGGGACTAATGGACGTGGCGGCCGGTGGACAAATGAGCAGCCCAGGTTTGAAGGCAACTGTCCAGCCCAGTGAGGTGCTTCAAGCCATTTTCAAGGCATTTTCAGCCGAACCTCAGCAGCACACGGGGTCCCCTGGAAGGACACTCCACTTGCTCCTTCTGCCCACTTAGCCCTGCACCACCTGATTAGCTTTCCATTGCACCCCTTGCTGTGTCTCCTGATTCCCGGTCCCACCACATCACGTAGGCTACAGCTATGCCTGATCTCCCGCTGAAGCATGACACACATGCTTGTCTCCTGGACGTCACCTCAGCTGGACCGAAATTCCGCCACAACAGCCGGAACTGAGAACCTAGACTAGCCCACAGCTCACCTTCCCGCCTCCCCCTCCTTCCCACTGGGCGGGGCCCCTGGCAACATGGTCTAGGCCCACCCAGCTCGCTCCTCTACTTGCTCTGGGACCTCTGACGAGCAGCTTGTCAGCTCTAAGTGTCAGTCCTTCCCTCTGGAACGGGAAGGATCACATCTACTGCCAAAGCGGGAAGATTCAATAAGATGGCACGTGTGCGAAAGCTCCTGTCAGACGCAGGACACAGGCACTTCCCTCCCTGCTTCCTTGGTCACCGACGGACATTTCTAGAATCCGTCTGCCTTATGCCAACTCTCCACCTGTTTGTTCCATGAAACTTTTTAAGCATTTGACACTTGAGCTAAAAACTGTTTCCCTGCTGAAGTATTATCAAGGCGCACCTCAGGTTCATTTCGTGGTTCACTACAGGATCTTGAAACAAAATGTCAGCCAAGAAATTTCTCCAAGGGCCTACCCTCTGTGATGTCAATGGGCATCACTATGCACGCACATGTGAGGGTGTGCAGGTGTGTGAGTGCCCTGAGCGAGGCCCCAGGTTACAGAACTGCTGGAGTCAGAATGTACAGAGTTCAAGGATGAAACATATTATTACCTGTGTCCTTTGGCTTGGTTTCTGATCAGTCTTTAAAAGGTTATCTGCTTTTATCAAAAAACAGAGGACTATGGACGAGGGGAGGGCACCAATGACCCCCTGCAGGCTAGTTGTGGGCCCTGTGGTAGGCACCTGATCGATGATCAGATATAACCCTCGCAAGAACTCTACAAGGTGGGCACGAGAAGCCTAATTTTCCAACTGGGAAAACTGACCCAGAGAAGTTAAATGACCGAAACAAGGCCCCTCAGGCAGCAAGCAGGGCATCCCCAGGCCAGCCTGACTCCAGCTCATGCTCTTCTCACTTCCCAGGGCTACCTGGAGCCTATAGCTTATAGAGACCCAGTGGGGAGTTGGGCGGGGGGGGGGGTGAGGTGCCAGCAAAGATGCACATGCTGTATGTCAAGTTCCCCACATGGTCTGATGGCCTCAGTTCCCACTTCTTCCCTGTGGTCTTGTACAAGGACAGGTCAGACAAGGTCAGCCCTACACAGCGTGGCTCTCGGTTGCATGTGGAGGAGGGTATGCACCGAAATCACCTGGGAAACATGTCAGATGCTCCACAATCACAACCAGCAGCTCAAAGGCTTCCCTGCAACTCTGGTAGAGGTAGAGGAACGGTCAAAGCACAAGCATCCTTTAGAAGCCACCTTCTGGAAGCCAAACCTCTCTATCTCCTACACCAGCCAGATGGCATGCGGTCTGCAAACTGGACGCTGACTCGGACGCTGACTCGGAGGAGGTGCATCCGTGAGAACACATGTGACTTGAAAGCCATCTCATCAAACCGTGTCAGTCTTCTTCTGTAATAAAACTTTCACCAGGGACACTAATAGCAAAATGAATTCATTTGGGTTTTACCATCTTCTCCTTCTCCTTCCCACTACTAGATGTCAATCAATAGAGAAACAGCCAAAGGGCAGGAGAGCGGAAAGCAGAGGCTGAAAGAATCTACCCAGGGCACCAACATGCCATGTAATAATTCATTCATTCATTGCCTGGCTGGTGTGGCTCGGTGGTTGAGCGTTGACCTATGAACAAGAAGGTCATGGTTCGATGCTTGGTCAGGGCACATGCCCGGGTTGTGGGCTCCATCCTCAATGTGGGGTGTGCAGGAGGGAGCCGATCCATGATTCTCTCTCATCATTGATGTTTCTATCTCTCTCTCCCTCTCCCTTTCTCTCTGAAATCATTAAAAAGATATCTACACTAATAAAAGAAAAACATGGTAATTAGCGTACGACCGCTACCCTTCCCATTGGCTAATCAGCATATCCTTATGCAAATTAACTGTCAGCCAAGATGGCGGCCGGCAGCCATGCACTGAAGCGAGCAGGGAGGCTTGCTTGCTCCAGTGACTGCGGACTCCAACATTCCCCGCCTGACTTGCCGGCCTCTCAGCTGCAACTCTAAGCAACTATGTTGAAATATAGAAGCTAAACAAAACCCTAGAAACTGGCTTTCAGTCAGCCGGGCTTCAGCCAGCCGGACCACAACATTGTATCAAATACAGAAGGTAAAGGCCAGAAACCTGCTTTCAGCAGCGAGGCCTCAGAGCTAAAGCTGGCCCAGAATAAAACAAAAGAAAAGAAAAAAGGAGCGGTTGGGAGCTTCAGTCACCCGCCAGCCTGAAAACGGCCCTCAGCCCCTCACCCAGACTGGCCAGGCACCCCAGTGGGGACCCCCACCCTGATCCAGGACACCCTTCAGGGCAAACCAGCCGGCCCCCACCCATGCACCAGGCTTCTATCCTATATAGTAAAAGGGTAATATGCCTCCCCGCACCGGGATCAGCGTGACAGGGGGCAGCACCCAAACCCCCTGATCGCCCTGCGGCTCTGTGTGTGACAGGGGGCAGGGCCACAACCTCCCCATCCGCCCTGCTCTGTTCGTGACAGGAGAAGGCGCCCCAACACCCTGATCAGCCCTGCTCTGTGCCTGATAGGGGGGAGCTCCCCAACCCCCTGATCGCCCTGTGGCTCTGTGTGTGACAGGGGGTGGGGCCACAATCTCCCTATCTGCCCTGCTCTGTTCGTGACAGGGTGCGGTGCACCAACCCCCTGATTGGCCCTGCTCTGTGTGTGACAGGGTGCGGCGCCCCCCCACCCCACCCCCCACGGGCCCTGCTCTGTGTGTGACAGGGTAGAGCCATAACCTCTCCATCGGCCCTGCCCTGAGTGTGACAGGGTGCAGCGCCCCAACCCCCTGATCTGCCCTGCTCTGTGTGTGATAGAGGGTGGCGCCCCAATCCCTCTCCACGGGCCTTGCTCTGTGTGTGACAGGGTAGAGCCATAACCTCCCCATTGGCCCTGCCCTGAGTGTGACAGGGTGCAGCGCCCCAACCCCCTGATCTGCCCTGCTCTGTGTGTGACAGGGGGCGGTGCCCCCAACTCCCCTATTGGCCCTACTCTGTGAGTGACAGGGGGGAGCTCCTCAACCCCCTGAGTGGCCCTGCTCTGTGCATGACAGGGGGGAGCTCCTCAACCCCCTGATGGGCCCTGCTCTGTGAGTGACAGGGGGCAGTGCCCCAACCCCCTGATCGGCCCTGCTCTGTGCGTGACAGGGGGTGGCGCCGCAACCTCCCCATCGACCCTGCCTTGAGTGTGACAGGGGGCGGTGCCCCAACCCCCCAATCGGCCCTACCCTGAGCGTGACTGAGGGTGGCATCGCAACCTCCCGATCCGCCCTGCTCTGTGCATGACAGGGGGCGGCGCCCCAACTCCCCAATCGGCCCTGCTCTGAGCCTGACCAGGGGCTGCACCTAGGGATTGGGCGTGCCCTCTGCCACCCGGGAGCAGGCCTAAGCCAGCAGGTCGTTATCTCCCGAGGGGTCCCAGACTGCGAGAGGGCACAGGCCGGGCTGGGGGACCCCCCCCCCCAGTGCACAAATTTTTGTGCACCGGGCCTCTAGTTAAAATAATAATTAATGACTTCATACCTAATCAAGTGGCCCTCCAATTATTAAGGATTGAGAACTGCTTCCCTGATTAGTGGGAGCATGTGATTTGCTCCTTTTAAGCTCTCAACAATGCCCCCCACCCCAATGTCATGGCTACACTGGTCTTAGAAACGGGCTGTGACTCCAGGGTGCCCTGTGGTCTAGTGCTCTGCCTGCCTGGCTGAGGCGCCCTGAGGCTGGGGCTCTGCGTACCGACAGGCATGCCGATGCCGTAGCCCTTGGTGTCCAGCAGGCCTCCGACCTGCGTGAGGTTGCAGTTCCGCTGCCGGTGGTACTCGTTCATGGTGGACTCCAGGAGGAAGGCGTAGTTGGAGTTCAGCACCCTGGCAACCCCCTCCTCCGTGCTCTTCACGAACACGCTCGGCTGCTTGGAGTACATGTAATTCCACATGCGCTGGTAGGTCTGGTAGCGGGAGTTCTGGGAAAGGGCACACAGAAGCAGGAGGAGGAAGAGAAAAGGAAATGTTAGTTTAAAAAGAGAGAGAGAGAGCCCTGGCTGGTTTGGCTCAGTGGATAGAGCATCGGCCTGCGGGCTGAAGGGTCCTGGGTTCGATTCCGATCAAGGGCATGGACCTTGGTTGCAGGCTCCTCCCTGGCTGTGGTTGGGGTGTGTGGGGGAGGTAACCAATCCATGTGTCTCTGTCTCTCCCCCTCCCTTCCATTCTCTCTAAAAATCAAAGGAAAAATATCCTTGTGTGAGGATTAACCAAACACAAAAAGGGGGGCGGGATCACAGTGGACCTTACAATTCTGGCCCTCCTGCTCCTCAATCCCCTCATCCTATCCCATGGCCCTTCCTGTCCCATCACCTCTCAACGCCTGATGGCGGGAGGTGGATGGGGCCCTGACGCCTTTCACAGAAGGAGAAGGAAGACACAGGTCCGCAGGCTGTGGCCTCTGCCTGGAGGCTGGGTGCCTGGTTTGGCCTCGTCTGCCAAGAGGCTGTGGCCAGGCCCATCTGATGGTGCAAATGGGAACCTGGGGGGTGTCCTTCCTCGGCCTTCAGGCTGGGGCAGTGGCCCCAGCTCCAGCCGGGACTTGTACAGAGATGCCGCCTTCAGGCCAGCGCCGGTTCTTTCCCAGCAGCCCTCAGCCAGTTACCAGTCCAGTAACAACAGGTAATAACGGGACAGAGGGAGTCTGGGTCTCGCCAAACCCTTGTTTGCACGATGTCATCACTGACCCTGTATTCACAGGCTCCAAGACTCGCAGGGAAACAGAGACTGAGGCCTGGACTTGTTCATGAAAATGAACGTGGCTGGTTCCACCATTAACTCTGGAGACCCTGCTTCCCTGGGGTCCTGAGCCTGTGGGAACCCGCCCTCCGTCTGCCGTGCAGCTCACCCTGTGGCAGGGCCTCCGGGGCCTCGCAAGAGAACCCCAAGAAGCCACTAGGGTTCTGATCTGACCCAGTCTGGGATCAATAAAACCAGTGCATTTAATCTAGAGTTCCTTACACTCCAGTCATTTGCATATTATTCTAATCTTGCTTTGTCTAAGTGACCTATAAAATTAAAGTAACTTAGAGAATATTTAAATATATGCATTAGCCTCATCCTATGCAGCAATATAAATAAAAGTACAGATTAGATTCACTGCATATACATTTCTAACACTCATTTAAAAAGAAATAGGAAACTACTGCGATTAAAAAAATAGTTCTGCCAAATAGTACCTAAAATAATCTCAACTACCACATGTGTCCACGTGCCGCACTGGGGACAGGCGGACACTAACCCCAAGTCTCAGGGGCATTTTGTGGAGCAGGAGGAACACGAATCTCATGTGAACCCCAAAGCAGGTGCTCCAAAGAGATCTGGATGAGGAGAGAGGTCCCAGTCTCAGGGACAGACGTCTCCCCCGTGTGCTGCCCGACCCCCATGTTGGTGTGAGACCAAGTGGCTTTACTTGGAAGAAGGTCATGCTGGAGCCGCCATGGATGGTGCCGTACTCGATGGTGGTCTGGTCGGCCAGGTCGTCCACCGACTCAATGGGCACGTCCATGCGCTGCACCGTCAGGAAGGCGGCCAGGTTGGCCGTGTAGGACGAGATGATGATCAGCGTGAATGCCCACCTGCACAGGAAGAGACCAGACGCCGTCGTCACCGGGCATGCCCAGGAGCCCTGGCCCACCTGGCCCTGCTGCAGTGGGGGAGGGAGCAGGTGGGTGAGGCTGCCTGGAAGGAGACAGGGTCTTCCTTGTTTCCTACCGGAAAGGATGGGGTTGTTGCTCGATGGGGGGTTGCATGCAGGCAGTGTGGGAGATGGAAAGGAATGGGCGTGGGGTGAGTGGGGGCGAAGGCTCTGAGGTTCTGCTCAGAGCTGGACTGTCTCCTCAGGATGCAGCCAACCTTCAGGGGAGCAATGCTGTGTGCGAGGACCGCCCCACACACTCGCATGGCTCCAGGGGTGGCCCCTCACCCTGGCTTTACAGCAAAGGACCTGAGGCTCAGAGGGCAAAGAACCCCCCAGTATCACACGGATAAATCTGTGTTTAGAAGCCAGTTCTACGGATTCTCACAGCAGAAACTCCTCGAGACTGTTGACAAGCGCCTTAGGATGCTCAGAGGCTGCAGTTGGGACACACGTGCTCATGTGATGCCGAAGGAGAAGCCGCTTTACTGGGCGGATGGAGCCAATTTAAAATCACAGTAAGTGTGCCACGCAGGCAGCATACATACGAAAGCCCTTAAAACCATGTGCTCACTGCAGGAGGTGGACGAGCAGGATGGCTCTCACCCTACTCATCTGCTTCCTGGGCTCCAGGGTATACCTCAGAGCGCTTGCGGCTGGATAACCACACGTTCCGACTCAGGGGAGTCTGAGTCCATGAGGCCTCACACTCTGTGAAGACGGTGCCAGCGAAGGTGTGGGGCTGCCCCGAATGCAGCGGCGGCGGCTCCCAGGTGGCTCTGCCACAAAACACCAGGGCTCTGCGGGCCGCCCCCCCAGGAGGAGACGGGGCGACCTGATGGGGCATCCATATGCCCATCACCAGACGCGTGTGCCAGACCCCAGGGAGGTGATGGGTTCAGTCGTGGCACTGTCCTGTCCACTGTGAGGCCTGGGGGTGGGGGTGGGGGTGTGCGTGTCCCCGGAATTGCTCGCATGTCTAGCAGGTGGTGCTAGTGCCCGCTGGGCCTTGAGATCTGGAGATCAGATGCGGAGTTGGGGACGGAGAGCCTGTCCACACCAGCTGAGGGTGGGGTGTGAAGAAGTGAGGTGCGGGACGGACACCGCTGGCTGCCCTCCCTGGGTGTGACTGTAAGGGCAGGTGTGCCCCACAGCCCAGACCTGCTCTCGGTTCCTGCCGCAGCTCTAACACTCCCTGGAAGTCATTTCTCATGCCCACGCCCCAGGGGAAGCTGGGTGGTGGTGAGGTGCGTGGCCCAGGTGAGGGTGACAGGTGACCATGCTCAGCGGTCTTGGCTAGGACTCTGGGGTAAGGAGCCCTGGGCGTGGACGCCACCTTGGCGTTGGCTGGGGAGGTTCCTCCGCCCTCACACTCAGCTCCAGTCCGGGGCATGTGGCTGTTTATGCCCCTGTCGCAATGGAAGGGGTCAGAGGTCAGTGCAGGCCTCGCCTCTGCTGAGAAAGCACATCCCCTACCCGCCGTCCCCCCTCTCTCCGCAGCACGTGGCCCCCGCTCCTGTCTGAAAAGGGGCCGTCAGTGGTGAAGTGGCATTCTCGTCAGTGCCATGGCACTGTCTGCCACCTGCTCTGGGCGAGGAAGCTAAGGCCGGCCTGCTTTCTGCTTCCAGTCCCCCGGCGAGCTCCCAAACCCAGCCTGAGTTAATGGCCGAGAACTCCAAGAGGCAGAGGGGGCACCACCCCCACTCGGTTTGGGGCTGGGGAGCCGCCTCTGGCACACGCTCAGAAGTGGAGTCGCTGAGCCACTGGGGCCAGGCACTTACACACGGAGGGCAGAGCGGCCGCGGGCCTAACGGCCACAGCACCCTCTGCAAGGGAGGCCCCAGGAGGCAGGGCAGACTCTGCAGCTGACTTCCCTTGTCTCCATGGCATCTGCCCGGGTCTCCTGGATGTTTAGGATGCTCTGTGACTGTCTCTTCCCTGTTCTGGGCAACGTGAAACCCAGTTCCCTATGTGGGTCCACTGGATTTCTGGCTACTGCCTGATAGGGCGCGAGCACCTCGTCCAAACGCTTTAAACCCAGTGTATTTGTCAGGAAAACAACCCCAGCCAGAAGGGGTCGCTGCCCAGCCGTTTCCCCGTCCTGTCAGCCTCTCTGACTGCAGACGACCCTGCCCGGCACGGGGTCCAGTACAGAAACGCCCCTTCCCTCTCCTGGGCCTGACACACACTGGACTGTCCTACGAGCGGTGGCAGCCCGAGGTGGGCTTCCGAGTGCGGGCGGGAGCTGGTGCTCTGCACGCTTGTCCTTCTCGGTGCACATTCCCTGTCAGCTCCTCCCATCACGTCTGAAGCAAGTCTAGTCCACATGTCACAGCACCTTCACGTTTCAAAGAGCTTCGTCCCCACTGAAGCCACTGCCCCGGGGGAGCCAGAGAGAAGGAGGAGAAGGGAGCTTCAGGGGGAGGCTGACTCCTGCTTGGGAGACCAGAGGCTGGCTGTGTGTTCCCCGAGGGCCTAACTCAGAGTGCCTACGGATTTGCACCCCCCACACTGAGGTGGACGGGCCTGGGAAGCCCCCACACCTGGTGCAGAGGGCAGGAAGCTGGTGGAGTGTTGGAGACCGGGTGTAAGCTGACATGGTCCGTGCACCTGAAGGGGCTAGCAAGGCTGGGACCCTTACCCACACAGTTTTCCCAGACTTGTTTGGATGGCGGTTATCAGTAGAATGAGAGCAACCTTTGTAAAATGAGAACAGCCTTTCATGGCTTACCAAGAAGTCTGTAACTATTTCCTGAGATTTGCTATACCGAGAATTTGTCCTTCTGCTCTGTCTCTCCCTTAGAGATTAAGAGGAACAAAGAATACATTCCTCTTGACAGACCTCCTATTCAGTGTCTTGTGTATAAAAGGCATTGCGTCGTTAATAAACTTGCTGCAGTTCCTCGATTGAGCTGTAGTCCTCTCGATCCCGCTCTCCTGTCTTTCTTTCTTTTCTCAATTCCCACCTCCCTACCTCAGCCCGGCTCAACCTGTCAGGCTGGCCCTGACAGTGGAGGGTGTGAGAGGCAGCAAGGCGGCTGGGCGAGGCTCCTCCCGCAGCGCCTCCCAGCCACAGGCTCCTGTTTGCACACATCTGCACAGGCCTTGCCGGCCAGGCCACTCAGCCTCAGGCCGTCTCCAAGGCTGAACCGCATCCTCGCCTTGCCGTGGGCCTTTCAGGCTATTTTCTCAGTCCATCTCCCTCCTGCCTTGGCTCCCTCTGTGTGCAGACCACAGGGTGAGGACAGGCAGGGGTAGGACGTCCCAAAGCACCTCACCCACTCCCCAGAGCCTCTGAGCTGGCAGGACCAGGACTCGGGCAGCTCCCCACTGGTCTGCTTTGCCAGGCAGAGGCGGCCGGCTCTCCAACGGGGGAGTGAGGTTCTGCCCTAGGCGAGCAGTGTGCACCCAGAGCAGGGCTTATCCGAGGCCGGCACCCCCACGAGGCCCTCCTCTGCCATCTTACCAGACACCGCTGACACAGCGTGTGGACAAGGCTCGCGGTGCGATGGTGGAGCCCTGCTGCATGAAGCCCCCGACCGGAAACCAGAGGCTGTTGCCCAGGGAGTACTGGTTCACCAGCAGGCTGCACCGGCCCCTCGCACAGGCATGCGGGCTGTACCACTCGTAAGGGGTCAACCTGTGGGGCAAAAGGAACGTTTACGGAGCCATGGAGGGGCAGGGGGCAGCCAGAGAGCTGGGCTCTTCTTTCTGGCCTCAGGTCTGCACTGTCACTGGGCTCCTGGCCTTGGGCAAGTCCCTTCCTTTTCTGGACTTGGATTTTCCCAACCACAACCGAGGGGCCTGGATCATGCTGGCAGTTTCTAGCTGTTTTTCTTTCATCGTAGAAACATGTTTACTTTTCAACATAAATCCTGATGCAGAAGAACTCTAATACATGAAACAGGTGAGCATGGAGCCTGCGACTGGCTGAGCGGTTCAGGCTCTGGCAGGCCTGGTGAGGCAGGCGTGTGTGTGTGTGTGTGTGTGTGTGTGTGTGTGTGTGAAAGAGAGAGAGAGAGAGAGAGAGAGAGAGAGAGAGAGAGAGAGAGAGAGAGACTGATAACCAAGCTGGAGGACCATTTCCAGCCCTTCCAGGTCACCTGAAGGCTGTGGTTGCTGATACAGGAGGCGCTCAACCAAAGGGGCAGGAAAGAATTAGGGAGCAGCAAAGCCAGGCTTCCAGGCAGCAACAGACCGTGTGGCCCGCGGAGGGGCCCAGCAGCATGCCAGCGCCCGGGGATGCCCTGCTGTCACTGACAACAGGGACCCGGCACTGGCCAGGGTTGCAGGCCCAAGGGGCAGCTGGCGCCAAGCAGCGCGCACATGGCCTTTGAAGACCACCAGGTGCTCAGAGGTCTTTCTCAGCGGGGCCCGATGACTTCCTGGACGTGGCTGTGATTTCCACTGGAGGCAGCAGAGATGGGTGACACAGGACCCCTGGGCGGTGGGGACCTGCCCCCAGCCTAGGCCCCCCATGGCTTGGGGCCCCGTCTTCTAATGGGAGAAAGCACAGCTCCCTTGGGGCCACTGAAGAGCTGGCTCTGAGGGACCCCCCCACAGCACACACACAGAGGTGGGACCTACACAGAGGCCCAGCCCTGCGGCCCAGGCGGAGCAGCTGCTGAGGGGGACAGAGCCCCTCAGCCCCGCAGGTGCCCTCTGAGCAGTCATCCTCCCTCACAAGCGCCCTCGCTGTCCTCACTGTGGGCACCGAGCTCGGGGCAGGTGCCCTCTGAGGGAGGACGAGGAGCTCCTAGCCCGGGTCCTGCTTCTGGATAGTGAAGGGCCAGGCTGGTCCATGCCTGAGCCTTAGAGAGCACACCCTCCTGCGCCCACCCCCGGGAGGCCTCAGCCTGCAGGCTCCTGGGCTCTCCTTAGGCCCAGGGCAGTCTCGGGCTTCCAGGGAGAGGGGAGGGCGGGCTCTTCCCAACCCCTGATCTGGGCCATATCTATATAGAATTGACTTCAGAAGGGAGGAAGAGGGAGAGGGAGAGATAGAAACATTAATGATGAGAGAGAATCATGGATCGGCTGCCTCCTGCACACCCCACACTGGGGATCGAGCCCATCACCAGGGCATGTGATCTGACCAGGAATTGAACCGTGACCTCCTGGTTCATAGGTCGATGCTCAACCACTGAGCCACGCCAGCCAAGCTGGACCGTATGTCTTAACGTTACTGGCAAATTCCTCTCTCCATCCTGCCTCCCTGCCATCTGCCTCCTTCATGTTCTGGTTCAACAAGGCAGCTGTGTTTTCACAGGCAGCCCTGGGCTGGGAGAGGCCAGGCCTCTGCAGAAAAGGCCTCAGTGCCTCAGCCTCCAGCCCCGTTCCTGCTGCTCACCACTCAGCACTTTGTGGCAGGTCCTGGCGAAGACTGATGCCAGCGAGTGGAGTGCACAGTGCTAATCAGAGGGATCTCCTTGCCCCTCCACCTCCTCCCCTCCTTCCTCGCAAGGCTCCTGCATGAGCAGGGGGCTGAAGACAGGGGAGCGGGCGGGGCAAGAGGCAAGGGTGCAGACGCAAGTTTGGGCAAGCTCACCTGTTCGCATTGTACACATGCGGGAATGTTGTGCCAAGGGTGGGTGGATAGTGCCAGGTCAACACCTGGGCAGAGTGGTTCGGTTCTGACTCCCGCCCGTCCCTCTAGTTTGGCCCCAAGGCCTTCTCTTCCTCCCCGCCCCTCCCAGGTAGTTTCCAGAGGTGGACACGAGGTGGCAGTGTGAGGAAAGGGACGGGAAGACTGTACCGAGCCACCAGGAAGAGGATGCAGCTGACGGCCAGGTAGGCGAGAAGCATGAAGAGCCAGACACCTGGAGAAAACGGGTCCAGGAAGGAGAAGTAGCCGGGCTTGCGTCCCTGGGGACAGAAATAAAAACAAGACTCACTGCACACATTCGATGAGAATGGCTTTGAGGCCAGGCAGTGGGGGACAGGGTCTGGTGAGAGCTGGGCTGGTCCTGCATTGCCTTGGCTTCTGGCTGACCCTGCACTCTGCCCATTGCTCCTCAGGCAGCATGGACGGGTGGAGGCAGTGCTGAGCGGTCGCTGTCCGTGGTGCTGAGCGGGACACAAGTCTTCCTCTACAGGTCACACAGTCAGACCTTCTCATATAAACCGTAAGCCAGTGCTGTGGGGCACAGATTATTATTTCCATTTTTTTAAAGTGAAGAAGCCAAAGCCCAGGGCAGTTGGGAGATGTTTCCAGATTACACAGCGAAGAAGTGAGAGCTGGGACTCAGACACACATTTTCTTTTTCTTTTTTTAAATTTAAATTCTTTATTGTTTTAAGTATTACATATGTCTCCTCCCCCTATTGACCTCTCCCCAGCTGTCCCCACCCCCCAGCACATACTCTCACCTTCCTACTGTCTGTGTCCATCGCTTATGCTTATATACATGCATACAAGTCCTTTGGTTGATCTCTGCCCCTTGCCCCCACACTCCCCTGCCTTCCCTCTGAGGTTTGATGGAATGTTCAATGCTTCTATGTCTCTGGACCTATATTTGTTCATCAATTTATGTTGTTCATTATATTCCAAATGAGTGAGATCATGTGATACTTTTCTTTCTCTGACTGGCTTATTTCACTTAGCATAATGCTCTCCAGGTCCATCTATGCTGTTGCAAATGATAAGAGTTCCTTCTTTTTTACAGCAGTGTAGTATTCCATTGTGTAGATGTACCACTGTTTTTTTAATCCACTTATCTGCTGATGGGCACTTGGGCTATTTCCAGATCTTAGCAATTGTAAATTGTGCTGCTATGAACACAGGGATGCATATGTCCTTTCTGATTGGTGTTTCTGATTTCTTGGGATATATCTCCAGAAGTGGGATTACGGGGTTGAATGGCAGTTCCATTTTTAGTTTTTTGTGGAAACTCCGTACTGTCTTCCACAGTGGCTGCACCAGTCTGCATTCCCACCAGCAGTGCACGAGGGTTTCTTTTTCTCCGCATCCTCATCAACACTTGCAGTTTGTTGACCGACACAGGTTTTCTGACACAAAGCCCAGGTTGGGACTCCAATGCTGTGGGGAAGCAGGGCTTGTTCCCAGCCCAGGGATGTGTTTGGCCAGAGTCATGGGAGTCAAAGGAGGGAGCTGGTCACAGGAAGCTGTGGGCAGTGGGCCTGGAGGAGAAGGAGGGAGCCAGGAGCAGGAAGCTGTGGGCAGTAGGTGGGAGGAGAAGGAGGGAGCCAGGAGCAGGAAGCTGTGGGGAGTGGGAGGGAGGAAAAGGAGGGAGCCAGGAACTTTCCCCCCGTCTGAGCTGTGAGTCTTGGGCCAGTCCACACCCCCTCCAGTCTCGGTGGGAGCTGGACTCGATCAGAGGTGACACACTTGTGCTTATACCACACGCAGCCCACAGACAGCCTGTTTGTTTACCCTGCAGTGTTTACTCATTTTGATTAGTTGCCAGCATTAGTTATGGAGATTTCATTTAAAAATCCAGGTTTCTCGCTGTTTTGCTTTGGATGGGTGGTCTGGCGACACCGGGCTTATCTTCTCAGCTGCTGGAGCTGAGTGGTGGCTACCACCCCAGGCGACCTCTCCCCTCAGCTCCCATAGCTCCTGTGGCCTTGTGCCAGGCCGGCCACTTCCACTCACTGTGAGACCACTGGCCAGGTGCTCCTACAGAACCACTCCCAATTGAAAAGGACATGATTTTATGATTCCAGAAATCTAGGAAGTCCATGGATAGGATAGAAACTCAGTGCTAAGCTCAGGGGTTCTGAAAATAGACTCATAGACACAGAAAATAGATTGACGGTTGCCTTTGCGGAGGGGGTTGTGGGCTGGGTGAAAGGTGAAGGGATGGAGAAGTATTGATTGGCAGTTACAAAATAGTCACAGGATGGAAAGCACAGCACAGGGAATGTAGCCAATGATGCGGTAATGACCTGAGTGGTGCCAGGAGGGGACTGGAACTATCAGGGGAGGGACCACTCTGTGAAGCAAATGACTGCTGAGTCACTATGCTGTTCATCTGAAACTAATACAAAATATTATTGAATTCAAACTGCAACTGAAACACACACACACAAAACTGGTGAACAAACGTCTGGCTATAAAAAGATATGTCACTTTTTGTGCTGTGGTTGGTGTGTCTTCCTCATCATGCCATGAGCAGCAGCAGCAGACTGTGCAGGACCCGTCCTCTGAGCCCATGGGGAGGGGGGCTGGCACGCCCACACCTCACGTGGACACTGACTCTGAACAAACATCACGTGAGTCCCATGTGCCCTGTCAGTCGTGATCATCTTACTCTGTGTCTCTCAATTGAGAGACATCTATGAAAAAATCTTATTGTTGCTTTCTGAATCAAACCCCATTACCTGCTCAATATCAGAATCTATACTTGATTATATCACAAGTGACACTGTGATATAATGACGTAGCTCCACTAAACACATACTAGTCACTTGGCAAGACAACATCTGATTCCACATGTGACTGGCCGATGCCAACCAGAGAGCAAGGAAGGGCAGTCATTTGAGATTTGGGTGGGGGGCTCTGCTGTCTTGGCCTGGGCAGAGCCCACACAGTTTATATGATGCCCAAGAGAAGTATGTGACTTGCAAGGCTCCAAATGCCTACCATTTTTTCCTGTGGGGATGCTTCAGATGGCTTCCTTTCCAAGACTGCTGAGTTACTGTGCTTGGAGCAAATCAGATGCCATATGCCATAGGCATTTCTTCCAAGATTTTCCTTAACCCAAAAGATATATGATGGTGACACTTTTCTTCTGAATAACTCAGTGTTTCCCTGTGTTCTCTGGATCTCAATGCCAGGTCTCCATATTGAAGGGCGGGAAGACCCAGGGAGGGTGCATGCCTTGCTGAAATCATGGCGATGGGCTCCGTTTCTCTGGTGCTCATTTGTTGGCCTGTTGCCATAGGGATGCCCTGCTTGCTTTCCTTTAAATGGCAGCTGGACTGCATCTTCTTCTTATCTTGCTCAGCAAAGTCCCTAATTACTTTCACACCTTCTCCTCAATGCCGGCAGAATTCCAACGTGCTCCATCTCACCCCTTACAGTACTCTTAAACATCACTTACTTATAACCACCATTATTTATCAGCCAGCCAGATTGCCTAGAACCGAATCCTGGTTTCACCACTTACAAACTGTGCGATATTGGGTAACAATAAATAATGCCTTAATACAACAGATATACTCTGTGGTATCTATAGGCATTTACACTGATTGTACACTTCTCTGTTGACTGCAAGTTGAGCCATTCTTTCTGGGGAATACACCACTCTGAAGATCAGTAATTGGTTATAAATGCCTATGTCCCAATTGCCTAAAACAAATCAAGCTCTGCAGATGGCACCAAAATTCGAAATGGTCCCCTTGACTTTTTCACTGTGCTTCAGACTAACCACACCAGAGCTAGCATCCTTGATGGTGGGAGAGAGCCAAAGGGCTGGTCACCAACTGAGCAGTCCCACATGGTGAGACTCTTTGAATGTTACCACTGGAGCTGCCTAGGGGCTATGAAGGGGCACCAAACTCCCCTTGCAAGTAGGCAATTCCTCTTATCCTTAAAGGAATCTATTAACTCCCTGATGCTTCGTTCTATGTGTACTGGAATGTGACATTACAGGAGGAACACAAGTGCTTTTCCAGAGTCTGGAACAAGTGCTTGAGAGCCAGTCATGCAGGACAAGCAGTAAACTGAAACACAGACTTGGACTGAACTTGGCTTACACTTACAAACTGTGCGACACTGGGCAAGTCACTTAAGTTCTCTGGGCTTTTGTTTCCTTTGTAGCAGGGGTAATAATTACACCTGTCTTATGGGGTTGTTTTGAGGACTCGATGACACGTAGTGAGGGCTGTGTACTAGTATGTGTTTGCCTCTTCCTGTCTGATGGCAATCAGAAATCAACAGGGGGAGGGGAGGGTATGTGATAGGAGGGAACGTACTTTTATAGTGACACTCCCTCGATGCACAGGAAACACTATGTTCTGTCCTACAGTGACACCTGCTAACGATGCTGGGGGCACCATCTGGTTATAGTCACTCCCCCAACTCCTGGGGTTCCTGTGGTTATAACATGAGTCATAATGGTCCCCTAGGGCTCCCCAGGGAAGCCATCAGGGCAACACCAGGCTCACTCCTGGAGGAAGGCACTTAATGCCAGTGATTTCATCTCACTGGCACCATCTCAGCCTTTCCGGGTGGACAGAGTGGGTCCGACTGTGGTGGGGCCTCTTGTGTTTGTGTCAAATTGTACCCTCGTCCCCATTCCCTACATACAAACTACTGTTATGAATCGTCTTCTTTCCCTGTACTCCATCTCCTCTCCAGCAGAGCTAATGACAAAGGCTTGGCAAAGTCATTGGAACTAAAGGCAATTTACAGAGACCAGTCGTGGTCAATGGTCAATAGAACACACTTGGGATGAGGAGATAAGACAACAGTTTCCATTACTCCTTCAGGAAGAGGCAGAAGAGCATAATTTCTTCTTGTGCCAACCCAGAAACCAAGGGGAGCTCCCCTCAGTGTGTCTGCAATGAGTTGTCTTGATGATATTTTGGTTTAGCATGCAATTCTCATCTCTGACTCTAGCGGGGGAGGGTAATCAATGAATTCCTCTTCATAAAACGCCCAGATAGGGTTGTTGCCTATGTACAGCCCAGACGCAGCTTATCTATTTTCATGTTACTTGTTGGAAATCAGGTATGAGTAGACCTAAGTTCTAACCCTGGCATTGCCCTTGTCTTGCTGAGTGATGTTAGGCAAACCACTCAACTTCTCTGGTGCCACTTCTTTTTCCATATCATGGGACACCATGATCAGCATGAAGGGAGGATGTGAGAATCACTAAAGGTGATAAAACACCTTCAGCTTCTTTAGAGAGGAGCACTCAATAAATAATCAACATTAAAATGATTCAGGAAGCCATATTTTCATTATATGGGCCATTATGTTATTTAGTGTTAAGAGATAAAACTCTATTCATTTTCTGTTTTCTTATAATAGAATATTAAGCAGTATTAGAAATGATTCACTGGTTTACTCAGCACTGTTCTCCATTTTCCTGGACAATCTTTCTGAAATGAAAAGACCTTCTTGAAAAAGGGGTAATACATCCAGCAAAATGCTTGGCATTGATTCAATGTTGGCCTTTATTTCTTTCTCACTTTTTAATCCCTGTCTTCATTTGCTTTTGGGTGCTCCCTCGGGGCCCAGGTGCTGGAGGGGGTGGGGTGGGCTCAAGAAATAGTGCGAGCTAGAGAACGCCCAGGAATTCTGCCAGGCGCAGCTCAGACAAGAACACTGTTCTGAGAGTTAGGACACCTGCATGCCAGGCCCAGCCCTGTGTGAGCTCCTCGTTTAAGATGGAATTGTAATCCTGGCCCTTTTCCCTCAAAGACCAATCCTGAGGACCAAATGAGCAAGGGTACACAGGACAATTATTCAAAAGTTCAATTATTCAAAAGTTCAATTATTCAAAAGGAGGTGCTTGATGAATGGGGACTGTCATCATCGTGAAAAGAGGAGCAAGAGGATTAACATTCCCTTTATCCATGAGCGACACATCAACAGCATTGTCAACAGTTGTCTCTGACCAGATCCTCACCTTTCTCTCCATCTTTGCCTGAAGCCTGGGATTCTGATGTTCTCTTCTTCCAGATGCTTGGCCTTCTTCCCCAGGCCCAGCCAGGGTCCTGAGAGGCACAGGCCTAGGACAGAGCTGTGCTCTTCTGAGCCACCTGGTGGCCATGGCAAGGAGGCCTTCTGCGGGAGAAATGGGCCCCAGTCTCTGATGCCCTAGCAGCTGTCAACTATGTGAGCTCAGGCTGGGCTGTGAATGTAAATACCCCCTTTCCTGGAATTGGAATGCGAGGCCTGAGAAGGTCAGAAGAGGGAGAGTCGCTTCTTCAGCAGACACGTGGAATTAGCTTTGGTGACTTCCCTGCTGGGTAGCCGGGTGGTGTCAGCTAATACAGAGGAATATGCCGTGTGACCTTGGACCCTGCAGTGGCTGCAGTGCTGGAAAAGCCATCTAATACCAGCGCACGGAGAGCTAGTTTGATATGAAGATGAGAGGAAGTTCTTCTGGTTTAGCAGACAAACTAGGAGAACTATGTGCCAGCCATGTGATGACTGTCCATGTCGATCTGAGGCCCAGCCAGGCTCCTTCCCTGCCCTGCCCCCTGCCTAGCTGTCTTGCCCATCCTCTGCTGCCCATTGCTGTGCCTCCACAAATTCTTTTTTAACACCAGCTGTGCCCACTCTAGCCAACCTAGCCAGTAGCCTCCTTCTCTTTTTAAAATATGCAGCGCCCTGGCCAGTGTGCTCAGTTGGTTGAGCATCGTCCTGTGGAGCAAAAGGTCACTGGTTTGATTCCTGGTGAGGGCACATGCCCAGGTTGCAGGTTTGATCCCCAGTCGAGGTGTATGTGGGAGGCAATCAACTGATGTTTCTCTCTCTTCCTCTCTCTCTAAAATCAATTAAAAATTAAATCATTTAAAAATGTGTGCAGAAGAGGGGACACATCAGGGATAAGTGACATTAAATCATCTGCCCTTTATTCACTAGTGGAAGGAGCCTGCGTGCCCCCACCAGACACCACGCTCCGAGTGTGCAGAGTGTAGCTGAGCCGTGAAGTCTGGAGGGTGCTGGGGACCTCGCTGTGCTGTGGCCTGTCCTCCAGGAGGAAGCACAGGGACAAGCAGGCAACCATCCCTGACTGAGCAGTCACTCCTGGCCATCCCTACTTAGTGAGGCAGACGCAGTATTTACAGGGACGCCCACAGTGTGACTCTTCTGTTCTTCTTGTTTACCAATCATGCAGCTGCTGGGGGAAAGAATAGCCCAGCACATTTGCACTTAAGTCTTGAAATCAAAATATTTCCACAAGTCATTCTTAATTACTATATAACTTGGTGTTTGCATGCAAATAAGATGAATGACAGAAATGCTTACCATGTGAACGCGGTAAAGAATGCTAATCCCCAGAGTCATGAACGGCTTGGAGAAATCAATCACCTTCTCACGCTCAGCGGTAATGGTGAGGCCAGCCACAGCCAGGTCTGCTTTCTGGAAGGGAGAGAGAGCCCATCAGGGGCGGCTGCATGGGATGGGGCACCAGGACAGAGACAGAGGCCACCACTCCCGGGGGATGGCTTCTCTGCCATGCAAGTGACTCTAAGGAGCGTCTCCAAGGTCTGAATGATCACTGATGGTCACTGGAGGTTAGGCCCTCTACATACTAATTAAGAATAAAAGCAGGAAGGACCACTATAGACTGCTAAGAGAGAGACTCAAATGCCCTAGAATAGGGGCAACAAATAGGAAAACTGGTAGATAGGTTTCCTGGAACCTCAACATTGAGTTGTTTTTTATTCAACTTACTGATTTAATTGGTCACTAAAACATCACTGAGTTCCCACACGGTGTAAGGCACTTTTGCAGGGGGTGGGATTACAATAAAATATAAGAATAATGGAACCACAGAAATTAAAAACAATCTAAAGCAACCCATTCGTTTCAGGGTAGATGTTGAAGAAATGGAGCCCAAGAAATCAAGCAAGTGGCCCAACATCACTGAGCTTGTCCACGGAGCTGGGACCAAGCCACAGGCCTCCTGGCCCACTGGCCACTGAAGTTGCTCTTGAGGCTAAAATTCAACTTCCACAGCAGAACTGAGAGAAGGCCCTCTGGTCCCTTTCATGCAAAATCAGCAGAATTTGTTCTGAAGATGTTTCCTTCCTTTCGTTTTGCCTCCATGTTGCACCTTAATGCCCACATTGGACGGTCTGTGCTGAGTTGAGGTCCTCTGGGGAAGGAGGGATATAGGCTCCCTCTGCCAGAAGTTCTTGCATCTGATCTAACTCCATCCCACCGCAGAGCAAGCTCACTCCCTAGTGGGCTGCTCCCCTGCAAACAGAGTGAGGAGAGCCCAGAGCGGACGTTCAGTTCTAGTCCATGCTCTGCCCCAGCCACTTCCCTCTTCAAGGCTTCCGTCATGTCATCCCTCAGCCGAGGATCAGGGTTAAGAGAGTGTTGGGTCCTTCTCAGCAGTGCTCAGTGGTTCTAAAATGTAGTCCATGACCCCTGCATCCAATCATCTGAAAGACTCAATGAAAACGCCAGTGCCCGAGTCTCCACCCAGACCAGGAACGTGCAGTGTAACAAGCTGCCCGTGATGCTGACATGCTAATACTTAGGAACTCAGCATGCATCTAAACTGGCTGCCATTGGTTTACATTTCAGTTTCTTCCTTTTGTGTGTATGTTAATCCTCACCTGAGGATATTTTCCCATTGACTTTTAGAGAGAGTGTAAGGGAGGGAGAGAGACAGAGAAAGACACATCGATTGGTTGCTTCCCGCAGGTGCCCAGGGATTGAGCCTGCAACCGAGGTACATGCCCTTGACTGGAATCGAACCCGGGACCCTTCAGTCCACAGTCTGATGCTCTATCCATTGAGCCAACCTGGGTAGGGCTACATTTCAGCTTCTTTAACTCCTAATTCTTGTGGATCAGTTGATGAAAAATATGAAGAAAGAAATATCGACAAGTAAAGAGTCCAACCATCTATAAGCAGATAAATGCACACACATTCCTCCCCAATCACTGAAAGGAAGTAGGGAGAGAGACATGCTGGCCCTGACTTTCCACACCAGGGTGTGTGATGGATGAGAGGGTACATTCACTGGCAAGGTCAGTTTCTTCTCTACTGCCCCCCCCCCCCGCCTCCAGTCCTCCAACCTGGATTCCACCTGCTAAAGCCGCCAGGAGACTTAGCAGGTTAATAAGTTCAGGGCCTTATACAGGGAGGCCAGGCTGAAATGAGACTAGCCTGCAGATGTAAGAGATTGTTATCAAAAAATAAAAACTGTGAGTAGCTCATTGTGCTCATTCTGTATTTCTCCAAGACAGTGGGTCAGGGAGGGAGGTGGGGTAGAGGCCTGTTAGCATCTGCATTTGGCATTTGGAGATTCTGTGGAGGGTTGTTTGGGGCTTTTAGAACCTCAGCCCTGCATTGAGTTCAGTCATTCACAGAGCCCAGCGTGCTCCATGCCCTGCTGGTGCATGGTGGATGCCAAATCGGCAGCCCAAGACTTGGGAGGAGGAAGAGGCAAAAAGAAAACTGGTTGGAAAGAAGGAATTGAAGGAAATGTTAGAAACCAAAACTGATAAGACGGGTCAGAGATAAACACAGCACCCAGTCCTTTGACCCCCCCCCCCCAGCTCCTTCAAATCCTCTTATAGTAAACTATAAGAAATGTTACAAGGGAGGCATGTATGGCACCAGGAGAAGGTAGAGCAGAGCCTAAGAAACCCACAGGCCTTTCCCGGGGTGAAACTCAGTTGCCTGACAGGATTCACCTGAGAAGGCCTGGGGGGAGCGTCCTGGGGAAGGGACAGCCTGTGCCCAGGCCCCATGGCAGGGAGAGCGTGGTGCCTCCAGGGCTGGAAGAGGCCAGAGGGCGGAGGAGCCAGGGCAGAAGTGAGCTGTGCGGAGAGGCTGGAGAGGCGGGTGTAAGGTGCAGTGCCTGAAAGAATTAGAAGGCCCTGCAGTGCTTTAAGCAACGGAGGGCCTGCAGGGCCGCTGTGTGATGCTAACGCAACCAGCACCTGCAGCCCTGCCTGTGTCAGGCTCTGCCCCGAATGAGCACGGCACCTGCATTGCCTTGCTCGGTGCTCACAACACCCCCAGGTGCTAAGTCACTACTTTGACCCCCATTTTACAGATCAGGAAAATGAGGCACAAAGAGGTAAGGAACTTGCCCAAGTTTCAGATAAAGCAAGTGGCAGACCTGCATTCAAACCTGGTCAGTTTGGTTCTGAGGTTGCCTCCTGAACCTGCAACAAATCCAATTAGCTCTAGTGAAGGGAATGATTGCAGAGAGGCAAGAAAGACACATCCTAATTGTCCCTCACTGCCTCCTGCTCACACCACAGGGGCAACCCGCTGTCCAGGCCAGCACTCTGCCAGGGTCACCCGCCGGCTGGTGACTCTGTGACACAAGGTCTACCTGTGGCTGTGCACACACCCATGCAGGCCCATGCAGGTGTTTGAGGACACACGGTGGGAAGGCTGAGGACCTGAGCCCAGAGAGGAAGTGCAAGCAGAGCCTAATGTTGCGAGGTGGGTGACAGACACGGGAGGAAGGGGAGGAGAGAGCACCGCAGAGACTCACTGGTCACTGATTTCTCTCCATAACCCAGGGGTCAGAAACAGTGGTGACTTGTCCGAGCCACAGAGCTGATGCCAGCGGATCAGGGACCTGCATCCTGGGCGGCCAGCAGGGAGGAAAGGGGTGTGAGGGCGGGGTGAGCAGTGGGTACTCCCGGTTCATCATACCTGTCCTGATGCCTCCCGACGGAGCTCCTCCCAGCCTTGCCCTCCTGCTGGCCTCCCTCACCCAGGGCTCCCCATACTCCTCTCCATCCTGACCCTGGGGCTTCAGATCCAAGCCATGGACGCCTCCCACTCACCATCTGTAGCTACTCTTTCCATGGACTGTTTCTCAGGTCATGAGTTACCAGCCACCTGCCACCAACACTGAGACCAGGTGTCAGCCAGGAGCCTCCTCTCCCTTCCTATCCTGTTCCTCCCCATTAAGAACTGAGTCCCAGCCCCCCAACGCCTGTGAATCATTCCTGTCACTTGAATCTCAATGTTGCTGCCCTCGTCCAGGTCTCCACGTGAATCACTCATGAGTTCCTGCGCTGGTCTGCTGCTTCCTGTCTCGCACTCCATCCAGCCATGAAATTGCATGGCCCCAGCATTCTCAAATCCAAACCCGCACCAGCATCGCCTGGACCTGTTAGAATGCAAATCCCTGGCCCCTCCAGAGTGCCCACCTCAGTGGGTCTGGATGGAGCCGGAAAGGAACACGGGTTCCAGGTGCATCCCAGGGCTGCAGCTGGTCCCAGACCACACCTGGACAGCCACTGCTCTGGGGTCTACTTCTACACCACAGATCTGAGCACCTCATTCCTGCCCACGAACACCAGCGGCTCTGGCTGCCTGTAGCGTACAGCCCACACTCCTCACAGCCACCTCACAGCCTGGCCCATGACTGCCTTTCCAGCATCACCTCCTGCTACTGACTTCCCTCCACCTGTGATGGGGCCACATGGCCTGGGCATGTTCCTTAAGCCTGTCAGGTATTTCAGACTCCCGGTCTGTCCCCACAGTTCCCTCTGCCTGTAACGCTCTCCCCTTGGTGCCTATCAGTTCCCGCGGGGCCGTGAGGGCCCCCTCACTGTTAATTCCCTCGGAGGCTTCAAGGACATGAGATCCACATGGACTTCGATGTCAGGCAGGTTGGCTTTGAATTTCAGATCAATCGCTTGTTAGTTGTGTGACCTGAGTTAGCCTTTCTGGTAAGCTGATGTCAACCTCAGCCTCTTCGTGATGAAATGTGAGTAACAATGTTCACCTCACCAGGCTGTTGGGGAGGAAATGGCGCATGACAAATGCCTGATGGTGCTCAGTCCTCAATACACAAGAGCTGTGCGTGTTGTGAGCTTTGTGCCAACGCTGCCCACTTCCCTGGAGCAGAACCACTTCTATTTTTCTCTATGTTCCCATGAAGTTTGTAAGTGACTCCATTTTGCATACTACAGGCTGTGGCCTCATTATTTTATACATTGCGCTTCATTCAGAGCACAGGTGGCCATCAGCTGAATTATAAAAATCGGTCCTTCCAGGAGCCTCAGTGAGCACATGGCTTGGCAAACATAGGCCTCTTTGTAGGAAGAAAATCTACAGGTGGACACAGCCTCCCGCACAGCACATGCTTGGCGAGCAGGCCGATCTCACCCGTCACCTGTGCCCAGCAGTCCTCGGAGGTCCATGCACAGAGACCATGAGTGCAGGAGAGTAGCCGCCGTTCCTCCTCAACCTTGAGCCCAGTGACGCTGAATCCATGTATCGGCCGAGGACAGAAAACATGTCCAAGGGGCTAGTAGGACCCTGGCTTCAGGGTCAGGATAGGACCCTCACTCCTGGAGGTGAGGGAGGAAGGGCCGAGGCTGGCTGCTTCAGAGGTGCGCGCGTGTGTGTGTGTGTGGGGGGGGGGGGCGCGGAGCCAGGCACTGACCAGCTGAGACCGGGCAGCAGCGAGCCGCCTTGGGGAGCAGGTAGGGGCTCCAGACAGTCCTTCGGACTCAGACAGAGCCTGGTGGTGGCTGAGGTGCAGGTGCTGCCTCACCTCGGGTTCAGCGCTCTGTGTCTACACCCACAGTGCGATGGAGCAGGAAGGCTGCCAGGAGGGCTGACCTGGGAGAAAAGCAGCACCCCCTTTCCTTCGAGCGAGGAATGGCCAGCGAGTCTCCCGAACAGCCAGGCTCCCTGCCCTGCCCCGCCCGAGGGAGCGGCTGCCCGGCTCCTCCCTCGGCCTCTGTCCCTCCTGTTGACTGGTCAGTCCGGCACCTGCCAGCCTCTCTGGGAGCAAGTCCCCCTGCCTCCCGACCTGCTCCCTGGGCTGCAGTGCAGCGGGCAGTTCCTGGTTCTCTGCACAAGCCGGGTCCACACGGCCAGACAGATGCCTCAGCACCCCCTCAGCTCTTGACCCCTTCCCACTCCAGCCTGCACAGAACCCACAACACTTTGTCGAGGATAGCTTATTTAATGCCCCAACTAAAATGTAAACCTTAAAGACGAGGATTTTAAAAATGCATCTTATATACCAAGTTTGGTATAGGTAAAGGGTTAAAATCATATTAACCAGGGAGAGCATATGCATGTATGCAGAGCCCATGGACACAGACAATAGTGTGGTGAAGGCCTGGGAGGGATGGGTGTGGGGTGGAGGGGTCAATGGGAAAAAAAACAAAAAACAAAAGGGACATCTGTAACACTTTCAACAATACAGATACATTTTAAAGAATCATATTAATTTGCTAGATAAAGGGAAGGTAGTAAAGAAAGAAGAAAAGAAAAAAGAAAGCAGGGGTGGAAGGGAGGGAGAGGTGAGGTGAGGGAGGAGACGAGGCAGGAGGTGGAGGGCCTGGACCCAGGTGGCCTTCCTTGGAGACATCACAGGCCAGCGGAGGCCCAGTGCTGCACGGGAAGCATGCGGGCTCTGAGTTCAAATCCCAGCGCAGCCTTATGCTGACAGTGGGTTCAGACCAGTCGGTCCAGCGCTCTGAGCTCAGGTGGCACATTTTGAAAGCGGGGATAACACGTAGCTGAGAGGCATGTGTAAGAGGATCGGAGAGAAGGACGGGAAGCATGTGGCACATGGACATCGGCTGGGGGGCTGCAGGGCTGCCTTCCCAGGGGCTCCTTCTGCCCTTGGAAAGCAGAGACTGCAGGGCTGGTGCAGATTGCATTGGGGTGCCCATTACCCACCCTGACCGTAAAAGTCAGTTATGAAAGTATGGGCCTTGCATGAATAATGACTTGACTAATTTTTACAGATGTTAATAGTGTGTACCAAGAAATCAAGAGATTTCCCCCTGAAAAGGCTTTGTTGTTGTTTTTCAAATTATTTTAAAATTTATTTTAGAGAGAGAAAGGGTGGAGAGAGAGAGAGAGAGAGAGACATCGATCAGCTGTTTCTCATGTGGCCCTACCGGGGATCAAACATGCAATCTCTGGCTGTAGGTATGATGCTTCATCCAGCTAAGCCACCTGGCCAGGAGCTGGAAGAACTTTCCATATTCTTGCTCTAACCTAACAGATGACGGATATTCTATGATGCTCACCTGAGTTTTAATCCACATTCACTCTGAAAATCCTGGACTTGTAAGCCTGAACAAGTGCACCTTGGCCTGGGTCTGTAAGAGCTTTAGCGAAGGCAGAAAATGACACAACAAGCAGTAACTGTGTCTGTGACTAATCCTCTGACACCTATCCTTCCCTGTGATTTACTTATTTATTTTTAAATATTTAATGCTGAGAGTATTACAGATGTCCCCCTTTCCCCCCATTGTCCCCCCTCCACCCGGTTCACGTCCCGCCCCAGGCCTTCGCCACCCTATGGTCTGGGTCCATGGATAATGCATGCATGCATATCAGTTCTTTGGTTGATCTCTTCCTGGTTCCCTCCCCCCTTCCCTCTGAGATATGTCAGTGTGTTTCATGCTCCCATGCCTCTGGTTCTATTTTATTCATCAGTTTATTTTGTTCATTTATTTTGATTTTTAGATTCAATTGTTGGTAATTAATGCATTTTTGCCATTTTATTGTTCATTTTTTAAAAATCTTTTTTTTTTCCTCAAAGAATACCCGTCAACATTTCATGTAATACTGGTTTGGTGTTGATGAATTCCTTTAGCTTTTTCTTATTTGGGAAGCTCTTTATCTGACCTTCAATTCTAAATGACAGCTTTGCTGGGTAAAGTAATCTTGGTTGTAGGTTCTTGCTATTCATCACTTTGAGTATTTCTTGCCACTCCCTTCTGGCCTGCAAAGTTTCTGTTGAGAAATCAGCAAACAGTCGTATGGGCACTCCTTTGTATGTAACTAACTGTTTTTCTCTTGCTGCTTTTAAGATTCTCTCTCTGTCTTTAACCCTTGACATTTTAATTATGATGTGTCTTGGTGTGGGCCTCTTTGGGTTCCTCTTGTTTGGAACTCTCTGTGCTTCCTGGACTTGTAAGTCTATTTCTTTCACCAGGTAGGGGAAGTTTTCTGTCATTATTTCTTCAAATAGGTTTTCAATATCTTGCTCTCACTTCTTCTGGTACCCCCAGGATGTGAATGTTGTCACATTTGAAGTTGTCCCAGAGGCTCCTTATACTATCTTCATATTTTTGAATTTTTTTTCTTTTTGTTCTTCTGATTGGTTATTTTTTGCTTCCTCATATTCCAAATCGTTGACCTGATTGTTGATTCCCTATAAATTATTCTTTATTTCAGTTAGTGTATCATTCATTTCTGTCTGATCCTTTTTCATGTGTTTGATGTTCTCACTAAGTCCCTTGAAGATCTCATTAAGTTTCATGAGCTTCCTTATAACCATTGTTTTGAACTCTGTATCTAATAGTTTGCTTGCTTTCACTTCATTTAGTTCTTTTTCTGGAGATTTCATCTGTTCTTTCATTTGTGACATGTTTCTTTGTCTCCACATTTTGTCTGCTTCCCTGCATTTGTTTCTGTGTATTAGGTAGAGCTGCTATGGCTCCTGGAATTGGTAGAGTGGCCTTGTATAGTAGGTGTCCTTTAGAGACCAGTGGTTCAGCCACTCCAGTCATAGGAGCTGGGCCTTCTAGGTGGGCCCCTGTGGGGGCTATGTGCACTATCTTGTTGTAGTTGAGCCTTGATTGCTGTTGGCATCACTGGGAGGGATTGACCCCAAGGCCAATTTGCTGTGAGGACCAGCGGCGACTACAGTGGAAGAGCTGCTGTGCAGGAGCCCCCCTGTGGAGCAGGACTTGCTTCAGTGGCGCTTTGGAGCTCACTGAGTCTGTCCCTTGAGTGTGTGATTTGTGGATGTGTAGAATTGTAATATGGTGTGCTCTGAAGCTGTCCACGGGGTGCATTGCCTCTGGGGCCTCCCAGGCGGTGCAAAGTCAGTCACTGCCTGTGCCCTGCCTGGGGCCACTTGGTAGGAGCTACAGAGGGATCTGCAGATGGCTGCTACTTGTGTTGGGCTTTGGGAGGTAGAGGGCCTACTGACACCAGCTACTGCTTATTTGAGAGATTTTGAGTAGGAAAGTCTGAATCCTGAGCCAGGATAGGCCATTCATATGGAAAAGCTGCTGCAAACAGCTTGGGTGGGATTAAAAATTGGGTGGGGCAGGATCTCAGAGAATCACCAGGGGAGTACGTCCAAGTAAGTCCCTGTGTGGGTTCTTTAAGAGGAACTGCCTGGGTCTCCAGTAGCTTCTGTGTCACTTAGCCACAGTTCCCAATGATTTTTACAGCTTAAAGTTTCGGGGGCTTCTCTTCCCAGCACTGGTGTGGAGCTAGGACCTTTTGCTCCTCACGGGAGGCCTCTGCAGCCTAGATATTCCTCCAGATTAAAAACATGCCACACATGAGTGTTGGACTAGCCCAGTGGTCAGCAAACTCATTAGTCAACAGAGCCAAATATCAACAATATTTCTTCAAAATAGACTCGCCCAGGCCAAAAACCGACTTCTGAGCATGGGCCACAAAGTTTCAATCGCACTGTATGTGCGCCCACACGTGGTATTTTGTGGAAGAGCCACACTCAAGTGCCAAAGAGCCGCATGTGGCTCACAAGCCCCAGTTTGCCGACCACGGGACTAGCCCATTTGGTGCCTCCGCCCCTCCTAGCAGTCTCTATGTGCTTTCTTCTTTACTTCTCTAGTTGTAGGACTTCCATTCAGCCAGATTTAATGCAGCTCTGAATGAGGGTTGCTCTGTATTTTAGTTATAATTTTGATGTGGTTGTGGGAGGCGGTGAGGACCAGCATTTATTTATGCCGCCATCTTGGTTCTCCAGCCCACGCCCCTGTGATCTAACCATCTCTCCCCAAAAGCACCTCTCAAGGTCAAAGTCAGCTGATGTTGGTGTGTTTCACTTTCCTGGGACCTGTCCCAGCCCTGCCAGGGGGTGCTTATGAGCAATAAAATAATCAGAACAAACAAAGAACACCTGGACTATCCAAAAATAGAACCCTTTGATTCATGTGAATTGGTCAAAGCCTCCCTTACCTGTTACAGGTGCTGGACTAGGAAAGCATCATGGTTTTAAATAGTCACCAGTGATTCTCACCAGGGCCAGCTCAGTAAAGATTTGTGCAATGAACAGAGAAATAAATGAAAAAAAATGAATGACTAACTGACTGTATCAATGGAGGGTTTATAAGCACACAGCTCAGCTTTATGTCCTTCCATCTCCCTCCCCAGCCCACCCCCAGTCCAAATCACCTGTTCATTCCTTACCCTCGTGATCAGCTCCCCGACCATTCCTGTCCAGGTGCCATTGGCCTCGGGAACGCCATACACGCCATCCCCAACCAGGCGGATCCTGTAGTTGAACCGGAGGATCTCTGCTAGCTCTTTGAGCATGTCCACACAGAAGCCCTCGTAGCGGTCATTGCCTTCCATCTCCTGGTGATTCCCCTTCAGCATTAAATATGGGTTTTCCTGCAGCAAAACTGGGCAGCTGTCATTCTCATCTCAGCCCTGGTGTCTAAGCACATGAGATGGGACCCGGGGCACAGGAGGTTCGGGAGGCGATGGGGAGATGAAGGGAAGTGGATTAGGTAACGGGCTACTTTGGAGGTGGTGACTAGCTCCCCTCCTCCGAATTCAAGGCACTTATCTTACCAGGAACAAACAAGAGTCCCACTGCAGAGTGTCAAGCTGAAGGCCTTCTGCCTATGTAAGGTCATTGTCTGACCCCCCCCCCCCCGCCCCACTCCATGCCCCTTGTCTGTTTGTTTGTTTATTCCACACGGACCTATCACTGAGCAATAAGAGATACAAGGATGCTGAGAAAACAGCAGGCCAGGTAAGAACCTGTGCTGAGCACCTGCAGCCACGGGGGAGCTGGTCCAGCCAGGAGTGTTGGGAAGAGGGATAGGGCCTCTGGAAAGCTCCGTGGAGGAGGTGGGGCGTGAGCTGGGCCTGGAGGATGACAGAACACTGACCGATGGAAGGGTGTGGATGGCAGGTCCCACGGGCGTGATCCAGGGCATATCCCGAGTGAGGCCATGCAGGGGCGTTCAGGGGACAATGGGCCCTCCATTTAGGGAAGCATGGGGAGAGAGGGGTCAGAGAAGAAATGTAGGAAGATGAATTAAGGTCAGCAGAGCCTGGATGCCAGCATGAGGTGACTGTACACCACACATATAGTAGGGAAGCATTAACAGTTTTAAAGACTTAAGATGTAAGTGTAGAATATTGAGTAGCAAGGGACAGAATGTCTGGGGGTGAGAACAGACACTCCCTAATATGAAATACTGAGTCCTGAGCCGTAGTTTGACTCGGGTTGGACACAGAGAGGGTCAGGCGTGGTGACAGCCTGGGTGTCAGGCACACAAGGGTGGGGCCCTCAGACCCTTGGAGCCTGGGTAGATGACTGAGGGATGATTTGGAAGGAAAAGGATTTGGAACATGTTGAATCTGTTTAAAATGTGGAGTAAGGGCAAGGTTGGGGCCGAGGTTGGGAGACTCTTGTAGCAGCAATGGCTGAAGGTCCAGAATCTGTGAGGCCACTGAGAGGAAGAAGCCAGGAAGGACAGAGAGGGGTAAGCAGACCTCGTGGAGACAGTGATGTTAGGGGAGTGAGGGGAGCCACAGAAGACAGAAGAGCGTCCAGAAGAGCTGAGGGTCAGAAGGTCAAGGGCCCATCAGTCACAAAGGGAAGTCTCAGGCAGATGCCCACACAGACAGGCAGGCTCCGAGAGGCAGCCTTGCGCAGCAGAGTGGGGAGGGAATGCGCCTGCACAGGAGTGAGCAGCTGCGAAGCTGGGAGAGGAAAGCCGCCGGCAGAGCATCCCCAACCCCCAGGCGCGTCTCTCTGAGCTTCAGCTCCTCATCTGCACACCCAGTGGGAGGGTGCCCAGGGCCCATAAGCCCAGGAGGTGTGGCTCTATGAGTTGGTGGCAGCGAGAGGGCAGTGCTTGTGCTTCAGGTGGGGCAGCGGGCTCAGGGAGCGGAAGCTGGAGCTGAGATGGGAACTGCTCGCTCTGCCCTTTGCTTTGGTGTTCCCTCTGCCAGGACGTCTCTTCCCAGATGACTTGGCTGCCATGTTCGTCCCGTCAGGTGTCTGCTTAGACCTCCCCTCAGGGAGGCTCTGCCCACCTGGGTGTTTACACTGCCCTCCCCAGGCCTGTCTAGTGCGGAGCACCAAGCACAGCGCCCAGCACAGGGGATAATAAATGCCCATTGATGAACGAACAGACATGTCCAGTGACACCTGGCTCCCACCAGGTGCAGGGAAAGCTCAGCAGCCTGGCCTTCAAGTCCCTCCACAGCCCGGACCCAGCCTGCGCCTCTGGCCTGTAGCTCACCTCCCCAGGGCTCAGCTCTGGGGAATCCGCCCTTCCCAGCATTTCCAGGCATTGACGATACTCTCTCTGATTCATTTCTCCCTCCCCCTCCTCGGCCTGGAGCTCATCTTCCATGCCCCTTCTCCTCGGAAGGCTTTGCTGACTCCCAGATGGCCGGACCCTCTCCCCTTCGACCCGTAGGTGCTATGCGTGTGACCTCTTTCCTGGCCCCACCCCACTCTGCTTATAG